AAAACACAATGCACCAACCTCTAAGTCATAAAGTCGGTAGTAATTACTCGAAACTCGATTCATAGTAGATTTTGCGATTTTTTTTTTTTTTTTCATCACGCATGCGTCTATATAAAAGCATAATAATACGAAAAAACTTAATGGCACACTCAGTGTGTATACGGAACACCACGATGTGATAATGTAGCATTTCGTAATATAAACGTTAGGTTAACGATTTGGTTGATTTTAATTCTTAAATTTTTGTTCATACTTTTGAATTCCTAATAAGACCATCTGTAACTGTAATTATTCTACGTTATTATTTTATTATTATTTAATTATTTTTTTATTATTTTTTTATTTTACATCTATTAAATACACACACAAAATCTTGGTGCAAAATGTTCTCGAATAGATCCAGTCATTTAAATCGCGAAAATAGTCGAAGATATTATCCATGTGTATACACAAATACAAAAAAAAAAAAAAAACAGCGATATATATTTTATCTTTTTTCATTTGTATGAAACGAACATTTATCCAACTGAACTCTGCAGCTCATACTCAACGGATTACACTGTTATTTTATTGTAGGTCATTTTTCCACTTGGAGCTGATTTTCGATGATCGTAGTTCTATTTCCAACAATTTTGGTTAAAAAACATAATGCTTTGGATAAATCGTTAACTTTTTCAAAACTCCGATAAAATGGTCAAATTAAAAAGGCTGCATATGCGTTGAAAAGAAAACAACTCTTTGATTATTTTTATTTAAATTCTGTGTAATTAACGAAAGATAAAAAAATCAAAAAATTTATTTACAATATTTATTATTGTTAAGATAGTCTCAGTTCATTCCACCGAGTACTATCAGTTTAACTTTAATGCGCAATGATCACAGCACATACTGACAGGTGTGTCGATCAACCCTGATTTATATTCAGCAGTTTCCGCAGTCGTGAAATGTTGGAAACATGGTGGCTATAAGAAAATAATTAAACAAAAATAAACGAACTAGTGCATATTTTCAAACATTTTTAAAGTATAAAATAAAAATAAAAGAATATATCCAGACACGGAGTTATCATTTCCATGAGTTACCATCAATATCAGTTATCAGTTAACCGACATTCAATGAGTAATGAAATTATAATTTAAGTTATCGTATTATTCGACTGTACTCTAATAATGTTTAGTATTATATTTACCGATGACGGTCGCCACGAAGCGTCTTCCATTTCATCGCTGTTTGCCGGGATGGTTATGATCGAGCCAGCGTCGGAACCGGGACAAATCTAATTGAAAATTAAAAAGCAAAATGTATTTATTTTTTTTTTTTCATGTACTATATATTTTTGTAGTATACATTTTTCATCATATCCATACACGATGCGCGTATAAACTATTTATAGAATACAAAATATATCAAAAAAACGTTAAGAAAATAAAAAATATATCGAAAATTCTGTAAAAAAAAAAAAACAATTGAAGTTGCAGACGCTCCCGTAATACACACAAAATCAAATCGACTTAGTTTATGAATATAATAATAATATTATTAACGTACAACGTCCTCGGGTCCGCGTTCCTCGCTTTTCACCAAACGGTTCAGCCAATCGCGGCAGTACATCTGTCGCATCGCCAACTCGTCGTCGGACCGTATCTGTTAAAATAAGTTTTTAATCAGATGTATATTTCTCCAAACCATCTTGTAAGTGACCGTAATCACCGTCGTGAGATATTGGAAACGATTTCAACGAAATCAAAGAGATCAAATATTCTAATACGAACGGTACCTTTGTGGTAGAACAAGTCGACTTATTTTGGGACGTTGACGGACCAGCGGGAACTGTCCGACGCCGCGCGAGTCGGTCGACTCGTGGACGGTTACGGACGGGTCCGGTGGTTGCGGGGCGCGGATCGACGCTCGGTGGACGGCGAACGGGTTCGTTGGCCACACGGCGCGGATCGTAAACAGGCAACAGCGGTGCTCCGGTACGCGACGAAGAGAGCAGGGTGGTCAGCGAAGCAATCATGTTGGCCGACGCGTCCCTACACCCTCGCTCGTACGCGGCCAACATCACGTCGTCGGCACTTACACGGTCCAAGTCCATGTCGGTGTCGGTGTCGTCGGACAAGACGAACGTTGGTGGGGGCGGCGGCGGCCGCGGCGGCCGCGGCCGCGGTGTCTGCGGCGAGGACGAACGCGAAGGTCCGTTGCTCGCGACAGCTCTCCTCTTTCCGGTCATCTCGAATTCCGGTGCGTTTTGATCGACGAAGTACATTTTCGTGACGGTGTCAGAAACGGTTGTGAGAATTTAATGTAGAATTAAACAAACAATAACAGTCCGGTACCCGAGTCGGAAGCGCGACGTCGGGTCTTTGCTACCAACCTGACCTGTACACCGTTGTCATCTTCCCATGTACCCGAACGTTAAATAACGGTATTCAACGATCGGTCACCTGTTAACCGTGTACAGGCGTTGCGAATGAAAATGCCCAATTTAGGTGGTTGGTCCCGCGGTGGGCAGTGGTGCACTGGTACCAGGTTAGTTAGAGTGCACGTAAAGGACAAGACAGAACCGCAAAGGCCGAGTCGCAGATCGGTCATCATGACTGCCCCAAGATGTAGATGGGAGGAGTGTGATGAAAATGCTCGAAAGTTCGAGACGTTCATGGTACAATTTACGATACGCTATGGCGCGAAAATTCAAACCGTTGTGGTTCTTAATCAAATACACTTAAATTTAGATCAGATTTAGAAAAAGAGCAGACCGTCTGGAAAATAATAAGTAGTTCGTGAACGGGTTACTGCAAAGGACCTTAAATGTTTGCAAAACTACTAATTTCCCATTTGGCCTAAGACATATTATGTCTGACCGTTGACATCGTGAGATTTCTCCCCCCTAGTTGTTCAATAATGAATTTAATGATTTATATAACTTCGGTATTTCAGCCGATTTGACAAAAAAAATAAAATCGAGAAAAATGTTAAAAATTTTATTTCAAAAAAATTGTTTTATAAATTACTCCAGAATATATAAAAAAAATTTTCTGAGTTATAAATGGTTAATTACGTGGTAAATATTTTTGTAAAATTAATTTATGAATTTTCTGATTTAATATAGATGCTCGAGCTACTTAGAATAGGAGGAAAATCGGTTAAACAAATGTTACAAAAAATGATGAAAAATTTTTTTTTGGATTTTGTTTTAAAAGATTTTACATACCATGGATTAAGAAATAAATATAATTTTACTTCATTATTGATCAACAGAGTAATTTTTGGTAATTTTATTAAGTAAATTATTAATTGATGAATATTAACTATAGTAATAATAATGAATTTTAGATGCTACAAAACAATCTGCAGCCGCAGTCTTCGATACCGAACCGATATCGTGTACACGGAAAATTGAATGTTTCCAATTACTTTATTTGTTTATTATTAAATATTTAGATCAATATCTGCGCACAAAGTTCAAAAAAAAAAAAAAAAAAAAAAAATAAACCACACAAATTGGTCGAGTAAAACCTCGGATATAACTGTCGTAAAAATCACCTTTCCTTTCAACAATATGATAAGTATGGATCGCTACGCGATGAATGGAACGTTCAATAATTTTTACTGCCCAAGCGGAAAGATCTGAATGCCGTGTAAGACGTTTTCACATCAAAAACAATGCCGATATGAATATAATAACAAACTCGTATAACGGGGCACGGGGCGGAAAAAAATACGCGCACTTACGATGGAAAACTAAAACCGATTAAATCGCTTGCGCAGTTGACTATCAAAGGATTACAGGTGCGTTGATCGTGTCGCTTGCACGGTGCGTGAAGAGCACTTAATCGCTTATGCACACGTTTAATATTATATGAATTCGTAAGTGCTCGAAATGTAGATCTCCTAATAAGGATGTAATATTTTTATTTTATTATTATTATTAATAATAACGATGGCCGTAAGTTACTGCAAAATCAATATAATTAAATAAAAATAATTTGCATTCCCGCCCGAATGTATTTAATCCGGAGAAACGTTTCCGTTTTGTCTTTAGCTTTATTAGTACTTCACTCTATGGAACTACCATTTCCTTTACGAAAGTAGCACATATGGTATCGGGGATAGTTTAGCGAATTCGATACGAGATAGAAAGTGCGTGTATGCGTTAGAGAAAGAGAAAAATTGTAAAGGACAACAAGGCAACTTCTCCTGTATTTCGTTTAATACACACCAATATTATATGCCATGTCGCTGTATACGTAAACGTATAAGACATTTTAGTTACAAGACAGGTTTAAAAATATTGTCCGCTATTCGAAAATACTAATACCGCTTGTCGAAAAAAAAAATGTGAAAAAGCGGTTTCTATCGTTGAACGCGACGAATGCTCGTTTAAATACAAGTATGAAAATGTTTTAAAGGATCACTACCCTTGAGGGAGTCGTCCGAGTCTAATACAGAGTCACCAATCATTTTACACCAATAGTTATAGAATATGTATACTATTGTATATTGTCATCGAGACGAGTACGTCTGCGGAAACGGGAGAAGAAGTTAACGGATCCGAAAAGGTCATTCTAAGGTCACACTACTTGGACCGCTACGGGTTTCGGTTAAATCTCAACGTTATGCATTTCGAACCGACCAGGTCCGTGATGATCTTTTGACGAGAACACCGGCGACGAACGTCCTTCGAGCGATGACGTACAGTTTACCATCCCTACGGGATCGGAAAACAACGCCGGTGTTCGCACGTTAGATGCGCGAACGGTCACCTGTTCATCTCGTTGATTTCCTCCCCCGTCGGTCGTGATTGTTGGTTATCGTATTTAATTTTTTTTTTTTTTATTATCGTTATTACAGCGACGGCGGCTAACGTCATCCGCGGAGCGGTTAGGTTAGGTTGTGCTCGCGTCGAGGGGGTTGCGCAGAATCCGCTACCGCCGCGGGAGAGACGGGTGGGTGCGTGTGTGTTGTGCGCGCTCGCGATTCCCGCGGAGACCGGAGCGAGCGCCGGCAGTCGGTACGCGGTCGCCGGACACGTCGTGCGCCCGAGATCCTTTCGTCGCCGTTCGGTGCACACACACACACACACACACACACACACACACACACATTCACATACATACACGTTTTCGCCGAGAGACACACGTCGTCGCGGTAACGGCACGATCAACCCTACCCCACACGAGTCTCCTGGAGCACACACGCCCCCGTGTCCGCGACCATGGACCACAGTCACAGCCATCGGACAGCCGCGCGACCCCGTCACCGCCGACCACTCGTCCAGTTCGTCGTCGTCGTCCGCTGTTGAAATCCAACATCATCGCACATCCGACGAGGTGAGTTTTGTCCGGCAGGGCATTTTCACGTCTTTGGGGTGAGGGGGGGGATTAATGTAACGTCGGGGTTGATGAAATGAAAAACAAACGTCATGGAAATCAGAGACGAAACAGCGCTTTCACCTCGAGATTTTTAATTTTTTTTGGGGGGGAGACGTTTTCGAACCCTTAAGCCCTCCCTCCGGCTACATCAATGCACCAATACGATCGATAACGATGTATACGGGTGATTCCCGTGGGACAGTTTTTATTCTCATCGAGTTTTTTTCGACGTAACGGCGTTACGCATTTACACGTTACTGTTCGTTTCGGTACCGCAGTATGGCCAGCACTGTTCCGTGCTCTGATGCCGAACTACCGTTAAAACTCCTCCGACCTCCCACAATCGACAACCAAACCGATCACATGTCTCGCTCCATTATCCTTTTTTATGCGGACGCAAGTGCAAGTTTCGCAGGGAATAGGACGACAGACTCGCGGAAAGAATAAGACACTTTATTTTTCCACGCACATGATTAACAACAATTCATTGGGGTGATCCTGCGTTTTTATAATATCTAGTTTAAACGAATCGCGCGAATACCTATTACCACTTTGGGCTCTAAAAAAAAACCGTTGAATCGAATCATTTCCAATACGACCCACGGAAAATATAATAATTTCGGTTTTCACCACGATGTGAAAACTTGCACTGCGCTGTGCAAAACCACTATACCCAAAAGGTCACGTTCGATTCGATCCCGTCCCTAATTATACTATCCGGAAATCGTATGTGTGCACATACGTATATTGACTGTGAACAAGCCTGAAACTTGTCTGAATGAGAAACTAGAATCTAGTTAGTTTTTAAAGAGTAAAATGTCAAAAAACTAAATTAACACGTTTTGATTTGTGGCATTCCGCGCACGTTACTTTTCCAATTAGTACCCGTCACAGCTGAAAAGCCAAATTATAGCCGGTCAGAACTCAATATTTTATCGAGGGGGAAAAAAAAAGGCCCTTAATGAAAGAAAATACTATGGCAACCTTATAGTTTGAACTTTGAAAATCAACACTGCCACAGCATTCGGTATGCGCGTGGGTTGGCCAACTGCAGTTTTGATCGTTGTTGTATTAATCTCGCATGACAATTTGACGGCCATTGATCAAAATACAACGCACTTGAATTTCGACCGAAAACGAACGCCGAAGAAACAAATTTTTCAACGCTATTGTGCGTCGATCCGAGTACACTGTCAAAAGAATGTGTGGTCAATTTAATAATCGCGTAAGCGGTCTCGCCAATATACTGATTGTTATAGCGTTTTAGAACTTGAGACATTTTCTTACACCGCGAAGAAAAACTTTACACCGTAACCTTGCATCAACACTAATATTTCAGTTATTTCGGTAGTGTTTCGGTGAGGGCACGCGTCGACGTTGATCGGTAATTGAAAATATGCACATGTTTGTTCGTAAGACCTTAAAACACATCTTGATTAATCTCTAACACCCGGCCATCCCGTATAATCATATTGCAGTTTCATAGTTAATTTTACACATTTATGCGCACATCGATGGCCAACTGAACTGTTTGAAAACTAATCAGCCAAAAGAGTTGACGGCTGTGTTACACTGTGTTACCGGCGCTATTTGGTGAAAAAAAAAAATCATAACATTCATAAAATGTTCGTTGATCAAAAGTTTTGAAGGAATTCAATTACAATTTTCTTTTTTTTGTAGAAAATCAAACAGGAAAATTTCGAAAATTGATTTACATGTTGTATCGCGTAATTTAAGAAGAGAAAAAAAACATAAAATCTAATGAATTTAATGATAATTTATTATTGTAATTTTTAAGCGCAAACCAACGATTATTAAATGTTATGTTATTACGTTCGACCATTGTGCTCGAACTTTAAATATTTAAAACCATTAAAAACCATAACGTATGATGATGTAGCGAATTATACATATTTTATTAGGCACTTCAAAAACGGAAAAGATAATTCGACAAGAATCTACTTATTGAAAAACTAATGAGCGCTTATAAAGATATATTATAATATTCATTTTTATTCTTTAAGAAAAATAATTGGCAGTTAGGTTATTAATAAGAATGTATAATCATTTCCACTGCGAACACAAGCTCGGGGCATTAAAAACAATTGACAACTCGATAGTTTCGCGGCTACAATAAAATATTATTATGCGCTGTAGAATGAAAGCTTAGAGCAACGCAAATAATAAATAGCGAACCTAATCTAACCGTATTGCGTTTACGTGTACTCTGCTGAAGGACGATCATCATCAATAAATAACCACGCGCAGCTTTCAATCTCGTTTCCAACTGCAGCGCATCGCGTCGAATAATATTAGTGTTGCGAAATAATTTATATATTTCAGTTCAACCATTAACGACCGTTTGCAGTTGGAATATTGGTTTACGGTTATCAAAAAATTGCGGCATAATATATTTAGTTTTACGTCCTTGTGGACTGCGAGTTCCTCGCCGATTTTATTTCAAAAACAACAATAATAATCGTTCAGTAATAATGATGAGTCGACATTACATGGTCGGCCATAACAATGTCTTTGCGACGAAACATTTAACAGAAAAATTACGCGTAAACAGGCAACTGTCCGATCACTGTGTGTAACGTAGACAACAAAGATATTTCAATTATTATTTTTTACCACTATCACCATGATACCGTACTTTACAGACAATCTAATGAAATGTTATGGAAACGAAATATTGATTAAATACCGTAGACGATTGTATGAAATTATCTTGTAGAACACTCTATGAGCATATGCATTGATTGACTAAAAAAAAAAAAAATCGATCAACATCAGCAGCATTCCGGTCTCGAGTTAGTCGGGGTGGTTAACAAGCTACGGTAAAAATCTCGAAGGGAAAAAAAATACCAAAGAAAAATGTTGACGAATAAATATATGTTCGTGGATAGTTTAACTTCATTGAAAAGCCAAAAGACATCGTAATTACGTAATAATTTAATAATATAAGAAAGTCGATGGTTTTAAGAAAAGAATTTTTACGGGAAAAAGCTGTTTGGCCATTATTTTTTCATAAAGCATTGCCCTGGAGACATGAAAATTCCTGAACGAATTTCATTAGTAAAGGGTTCTCAGACTATGACCCGGGATAGTAGAAAAAATTGTTGGAGTTAATTTTTGCGCAACAATACAATGACGCAACGAAGTACTTTTTTCCTCCTCTTCTTTTTCTTCTTATTTTTCTGTTATTCTTTTTCATTTCCCGCTTTTTCTTGGTTGCTTTCCTTTTTTTCTTTTTTCATCCATTCTCTCTCTCTGTCTCTGTCTCAGTCCCCCTCTCTTTCTTTCTCTCTCTATTTACGACGCCTACCCGACTTGGAAACCTAAACGGTCCCAAACGGCCCAGGAGTTTTAATAATAATAATAATAACAGTTAAATAAACGGTCATAATAATGATAATAACCGCAAAGTTGGCGGTAACAGTCGCTTTAACACTGGCATACGGGAGAAAAAAAACCCTTTGAACACTCGACGGACTGTTTGAAATTCTCGAACGATTCGTGCGTTCACATTTACATAAACGTCGCGGCGTGCTTATCCCTGGGTCATCGCGACGGTTCCGGAACTTTGACGATTGTACTGCGCCGGGCCCAGTGACCGTCGGTCCTTGAGATCGTCTCGATTAACCGCGGTAATCGTGTGGTAAAGTTAACCCGAGGGTTTACATCGTCGCGTTCGCAAATCGTAAACGCGATCGGTGTCGAGCGAAACAATTTTAATGAACGATAAATGCGTTACAAGCATTGCGAAACGTCGATTCGAAGTTAGACGGTTTGCCGTTGCGTTCCTAATCCAATACGTTTTATTAGTTCATAGCATCGATTTGCAAAATTGTCGCGCCGAGCACTGAAAAACAAGCGTGTTCGATTTATGTAAAGTATTTTAACCCTCGATTCCATAAGTGCAGTACACTTCGACATTACATTTTTTTTTTTTTAATATAAACACTAAGATCATTTACTGCTGGAGGAGGGAAATTAATATTCATCGCTGTTACCGCATACTATCCGGGATATCAACCTTAAAAATGTATAAGCTATTTAAATTATAATGTATTGTTTTGAAAAATAATCCAAAACGTTGTTTGGACATTTTCGTTTGATACGTTTCTAACAAATTACAGTTTACTTCTATTTACGGTCATTTAAAGTTTGGGTGGGTGAAGTGGTGAAGTGGTAATTTTATCTTCAAGCACATTTTCTATTTCTTCGCCTTCGTGTCTACACTTTAAACGGTTTTAACTGGTATAAACTATACGCTCAGCATACGTCGGGGCGAGTACACGAAAAAATAATCCGTATTATAATTTTTAGACGAAAAGTTGAAGAAGTTATTTGAATTATTTCTTTGTGACGCAATAAATAAATTTTATTTTATAGAACAAAAATATACCTCAAGTTTTAAAATAAACTGTTTGCTTTAACAGAGATGCCCTGTTAAGACAGCACGTAATGCGTACGGTTTTTTTTCTGTTTTTCATCGACCTAAGTACCATAACGCCTGAAATGATTACTTGAACTCGTGTCGGATTTACTATATCCATTCCATACGGATACATCAACGTTTACTTATTATATAAATCGCATTCGATCGCCGACCCGGAATATTGATCGTCTTCAATAGCGCACGTAACTGTACAACAATATTCAATATATTATTACCATATCCCGAGGACTTCGCAAAGTTCGTGTGCGTAAAACGCGAACAAATATCCTTTACGTATATAAAATAACCGATCACTTATCAAAGCTCCTTTGGTACACGAACAATGCATTGTAAACTTGGCACCATCTACGTCCTTTGTATATTTTTAACGCCCAGTCTGTACGTATATTATACATGTGTGTGTGCGCGCGCGTATATAAAAAAAAAAAAAAAATACAGTCATTTATTCACATAAAGTTTGAAACGAAATCCGCGAAAGCGTAAACTTTTGAAC